GCAGAGGTCACATTTAGTTGTGTGTATTGGTGTGCTGTGTCACAGTGATAAATAATTCACTTTCACTTTTATCTGCTTACGTCATGGTCCATAAGGCCTTCTGACTGATCACATCTGTCTATCTGTCTATTATAACAGCGAACAAAAGGGGCTCAGAGCTGATCACTAATATAGACCCACCCCTACCCTAAACTCATCAGTCACTCTGTCAGCATAGCTAACTGTCTCACTGGCCTTGTCCTGCACCGCCCTCACGTACTTGTTGGCCACTCTCAACTTTCTCATATATGCTGTTCCGCATTAGACACCCTGTAATATGCTTTGTCTAAATCTACAAAGAGCAACTCCTTCTGATCTCTGGATATTTCTATCAGCAGCACAAATGGAAAACTGTAGAGTTGGAACTACTCCATGACATATTAATAATTGTTTCTGCAATTGATTGTTATTTATTTAAGTTAAAAATATTTTACATTATCCTGTGTAATAAAGAAATATCAAGTTAAGAAATTCACAAAAACATGGACAACATCAAATGACTTGGCGGCCCACATTTGGCCCACGGGCTTTGGGTTTGACGCGTCATAGAAAATGTTGAACATTGTAAAAAAAAAAAGGCGATTGTTGAGCGGGTGTTTTTCATGAAGGAATTCAAACAGCTGTTTCTGAAACAAAAGCATCTGTCTTCATAACCCTGACCCCATATCTGACTTATCCACTCAAGTGTACACCCACTCTCTGTAGGTCCCTGAAGTACTACTCCCTTAAAATATTTATTAGAACCCAAAATAATGGATTGCTGCTGAGCCCAATCTTTTCTTGTCTGCAAACATACCTAAACAATCAAATTGATGTATATCTGGAAAATGCGTTAACTGTAATTAATATGTACTATCTAAGTTCTTGTTCTGTAGCCAATCACCAGTCCATGTCAGGGCTTCATTTGGAGACAACCAAGCATTCACAGTCATACCTGTCATGTCTGTCTGTTTCCTTTCCCTGTTGTCTTTGTGGGGTAATCTGTGGGATCACACTCACCTGTTGGTAATTAGCTTCACTTGTGTCACCTGGTGCTCCCTGTGTATATATACCCCTCTCCCTCACTCTGTCCTGGTTGGATCATTGTTCAGTTCGTTCTGTCAGGCTGTTCGTGTTCTGTAGCAGTTCGGTGTTTCCTCGTGTTCTGTGTTTCCTCGTGTTCCGTGTTACAAAGAGAATTCCATGCCTGGTAGTTCTTCGTGTTTCGTTAATTTGGACTAAAACTACCTGCACCAGTACTGCATTTGGGTCCTGCCTGCTTCCTGCCATGTCGTTGCCCACACGTGACACATACCTATGGTAAATTTAAAGCGTGTCAAACTGAAGGCCCATGGGCCAAATGCAGCCCGCAAAGTCATTTTGTGTGGCCCGCATGGCGAACTGTGTTGCGGATGTGGCCCCCCCCAGTGAAAATAAATTTGACACCCCTGATTTAGGGTGATCGACCTAATCCCAGCTGAACTTCTTTTTTTTTTTTCTTTTTTTTTTTTGGTCTGTGGGAGGAAAAGAAAATACATCTTAAAACTTTGAATTCATTTAAATTGAATTTTTAGATAGAAAAGAAAGTGTTTTAGACACCATGACTCAACAACTGATCCAATATATATGGCAATCTTACAGACTTTATTCTTGGCATTTTATGCAGTTATAAAAGTTGACTTCTACAGCTTGTAGCTATGCATTAGTCTAATGACTGTAATGACAGGTGAGAATATTGACTAAAAGTCTTTTCAAATGTCAGATTCATTATCTGGCATTTATTAGCCACCCTCTTCCTTCTCTTCAGAATCACAGAAGTGATTTATTATATATATATATATATACTGTATATATTGAGGAATTTTAATGGATATTCCTTATGTAAATAAGGTGTACTTTACAATTTCCATTTCTTTATTTCTTCTTCTGTGACCTATTGTAGTTCCTTTGTCTTACATTGACATTTTTGGCTTGTTTATCTTCTTTGATTTGTGTAATCACTATTATATGACATGCATTTTATATTTAATACATTTTAGAAATTAAGTAGAACATTTTTAATATATTATTTTGTTATATATACAACTTTTTGGGGTAAGTATTCATTGAAGCCTCTAAAATGAACAAATATTTATTGATGTTCATCCATTCATCATTTCTCTTACTTTAATACATTAACACAAAAATTGACGCAAACTCTTATACAGTTATATTTATGTTCTCAATATAAAAAGTAGTACAAAAAAAGTTCTCGTCTTTCAGTCTTTTCTTTGGTAAAAACAGAGACCAAACGTCCAAGGCCAGACCATAAAAAAACTAAATTTAATAATCACTGTTATTCTTTCCATACTTGTTGAGTCATTTATTTTTTTCACTACATGTGAGACAAATAATCTTTTCTCCCTTCACAACTAAAGGACACTATTATAAATGATTCCCAGGGTTCAGCGTTAACTGCCAGTTAAGGTCAGCAATTTAACCCACACCTTGCTTGAAGGCCACTGTGCTCAGCAAGTCTTCAGGATGCTGTATGTATCTCCCCTCTCCCAGGGCTTTTTGATAGCAGCTCAAGTTCTAATCTGATAAAACAAAAATAAAGGACGTGTTAGGCCTTTTTTTTCCAACCACAAGCTTTAGTTTATGTTAGCTAGCCTCTGTGAACAACGTATAAATGTAAGTTTAAGTGATTTTTAATACTGATATCGACACTTATAATAATAAATAAATAATAAAACATATGATGAATACTGCTCATTTAACTACTTACCCAATGTACCCTGAATAGCTTAACTGCCATAATTAGGGGACAAAAATGTGTAGCGGACTTGATCACATGGAGTCACTGCTCTCTTCTGGTCAGTGGTCTTGTGACATGGATGGATCAGTTCAATTTTATGTAACCAAAAGCCTCTACATAGTAAGCTACCCTAAAATATGTGAAAGTACAGTTTTTTTTCATGTATTAATTTGTACCGATACTATGAAAGTAAGCAATACTCCATCGATACTAGGTATCAAGGGTAACTGGATGGAGTAGGTTTCTTGAAGACGTTTCACCTCTTCAGTTCTGACTGACTAATGGGAAATTCTGGTATTTAGCCTCAAAGGGGCTGCATACCCGTAACGAGGGACCCTTGTTACGGGCATGCAGACTCTTTGAGTAGTCAGTCAGAACTGAAAAAGTCTCTTGGAAGAGATGGTGAAACACCTTCATGGAACCTACTCCATCCAGTTGCCCTTGATGTAACTATTTTTGGATACTTACTCAATTGGCACCTGGTTGATTTGAACCTGTTTTGAACCTTCCAGACACAAGACCGCTTTCTAAACCACTAGGCCCCCATAGAACTCCTGTGTGTTTTACACTTCACAGGAGAATATACCCAAGATGCATGCCCCCCCAGCAGAGAGAAGGGCTCAATTTGCTGGGTATTCCAGACATTCGGTTTTTCAGTACTGTGACCTTTAAATCTTAGTCTGTTCAAGTTTTTTTTTTTTTTTTCTGACGCCCACCTGACGCCCACCTTCATCTTGTCAAGGGTCCTCAAATGCCTCTAATTCCTGTCTATCTTTCAATGTAGAGGCAAAGTTTCTTCACACAATTTTCGTCAACAATTTTGTAGATGCCACTTTCTTCAACCCTTGGCTTTAATTTCATCATTCCCAGACGAGAGCAGATAAATCTTTATATTCCATTCTCTAGAAAGAAATGAGTCCACGTACAGCCAGAGTGATTCAACAGTTTTTAATTAGAATATTTTACAATAGATTTTACAGTTTGACAGTTTAAGGGGAAAAATATTCAACGGGTTTCCATCTCCAGAATGAGACATTCCTGGTGTTTTTAAACAACAAATGAATGAAGATGGACACAAACACATTTACCACCATTTTCTTTTTCAAATTGTCCAAATGGTTGAATTCCAGGAAAGAGTAACTGTGTCTTTAATGCTTCTAGAAAGACAATGAAAACCTTAGCACACTTTGTTCTAAATTAACAACTTGGAAATGAGTAAATAAGCCTTTGGGATTTCATTTTCGTAGGATTGTTGCCTGCCATGTAAAGCTGAAATTTTTCCTAGCTTCGATTTACAACCCGCATGCAGCTAAAAAAAAAAAGTGCCAAATGACTACAAAGACTACTTCGGTCGCTACCTTCATTTTTCAACTTTTAATTTAATATTTCGTTAACGTCCCACACACTCAGTATGCAGGCTTCAACCCGTATGGTCATCTCTTGGAAAATACGCTGTAAAAAAAAACGGAATTAATAGTAGACAATATAAATTTCTGTACGCTTTAGTACTTTCCTTCACATCACCATGCAATGTTTCTAGCTCACCTCTTTAGTTATTGTCAGCTTAAATGTTTTGGCAGTAAAAGGCAAAGAAATTACTGGAATTAACTGAAATGGACCAATACGTTTAATTTCCCTTTAACTAATTTAAAGCAAAAATCACAAAAGAAAAAGATAGAAAAATAAGTTCTTAGCCAAGAAAAAAAGATACATAGGCCTATGGTACAAAATAATATGCTCAGGAAATACAGTTATATTTGTCTACAATAAGAGTTACATTGATATCCTCTTTCTCAGATGCAATAATATTCATATTCATGTACATAGTGAAAGAAATATACATATTGTAGGTTGTTGTAAATAAAAAAAAAAATCGGTCAATATTCTGGCCTGTATGTAGAATCCATTTGAATGTCAAAATTGCTCACAATGCTCTGGAACAGGCAAGTACATATAGTGCATATACCATGTTTATGCTGAGTGAGTAATATCAAGGTGCTACTATACAGTAAGCAGCTGCAAAAACCCATACAAGTTCCGTCAGTGTCCACATATGTGCTGTTGAATGTTTAAATTAAGAAACTCCATTCTGTTTGCAGAAAAAGATCCTAGTGCAGGCATGGGCAAACTAAGGCCCGGGGGCCGAATGCGGCTCATTCAGCTTTTTAATCTGGCCCGCCAAAACTTGTGCAATACCCTTTCCTCAGTAGGTGTCAAGAAAATGCATGACAGCCCCCCGTTCAATTTTAGGACAATTGTGGCCCATGAGTCAAGAAGTTTGCCCATGCCTTGGCTAGTGTGTAGTTACTACGTTCTGTAGTACTTCTCTGTTTTCCCTTACTCCTTTGAAAGCAATGTTTTATTTGACAATGGGCACTGAGTACTTTTTGAGTTTTTTTTTTTTGACCACATTGAATCAGCCACCTGCTATACAAGTTGGACAAGAACATAAAAAGTAATACTAATACTTACTCTGTAAAATTTAGGATTTTCATGTTTTCTAATTTTCAGTGATAGTTTTTAGATAGTTATACAAACATGTTACCGCCATTTCTTCTTTTGTGTCCACTTGCACTCAAAGGTTCAGGTCTGATTCATCGTGCATAGTTCATTATCTATGTGCTGTCATTGCTCTTGAGTAGTTTTGAGAAGCATTTTCCTGCCAATTTATTTCTGAATAAACTGCTATTATGACTTGGTTTTTTTTAGCAGATGATGTGACCATTTATCCATGTGCTTTTGGCCATATGGAGGGTTTTTTTTTTTTTTTTTTGCTCTGTTTTATTACCAAGAAAGCATAATGAAGGACAAAAAGGCCAGTCAATGGACACTAACATAACTCCCAAAATGACTGTTTGACAAGTTCAGTTTTGCATGAGGCAGATTTCTAATTGCAGCACACTCTGAAGCAGCGATGTTCTGAAAGCAGAGACCAACATGACCTTATAAAATGGAACCTGCTAGACTGTAATCAGCTTTATATCTACTAAAAAACTTACCTTAAAATGATCAGGCTCTCTGGACGTTTTCACAGAGAAGAACTGACCATGGCTGGCACTTCTACAATTACAGGTTTCTGTACAATCAGTAATGAGGTGGATTCAGCAATTCACTGGCGCATGTAACCTTCTGTTTCTGTTCATTGTGGAAACCAGGGGTGTCAAACACACCAAAATCGTCCCACTGGGGGGTTCGATCCGGTCCGCTTAATGAATTTTGAAATTTAAAAAATAAATGCACATACATTTCTTGTCTGTGATGTTTTTTTTCTTCTAATGATATTTCATTTAATATGAATATTTTCTAATATACAAATTTTCATGAAAACAAAGTGAACTATTTGACAACCCTGGTGTAAACTATGTAGAAAAAAACAAAAAACAAAACAAGCATGGTGGTGCATGTTAGTTTGTGTTCATCTAAGTGTGTCAGCATGTGCACTACAAGTATGTGGGTCTTTGCTTGTGTGCTTCTTCAGGGGCTTTGTGTGGTCAGCGTGAGCTACAGTACAGTAAACAGTGTTTGGGCACATCCTTTAGTATCACTGATGGGTTTCTTTGGGGGGTGGGGGTGTATTGGTGTTCACCTTGGGTACAAATGGCTTTTACTGAGTGTTTTACAGTTAAATATCTATATATTTTTTTAAGCTCTTAGAAAATGTAGAAACACCGCACGATGGCATTCGGAAAACAAACGCAGAGCACAGGAGACACCGTAACCAATGACATGTAGCCGTCACTGAACTGACTTTTGAGCAAAGATCCCAACCAGTAGCCTCAATACAAACGGACGCGTGTGGAAACTGATAATAGCAACTGTCTGAAATGTTCATTTACACTGTGCGAACTGATCCAAGAGTCACCAGCTGTGGTCCTCAGGAATGTAAATCCTCAAGTCCTTTGTTCTTTTTGCCCACACAAACACAAGGCAAGGCATTGAAACGTTTTGTTTTGAACAAACTGAATGGTGACACAGTTAAATGGAGAAGATATAGGAGATCACTGTTAAAGCACACTGCCGCAATGCAAAAACTAAAATATCAGTTTCTAAATATTAATAATAATAATAAAAAAAGATTGAAAGTACAAATTAAAATAAAGACAAATTTCATAGAGGAAATAAAGTACAACAGGGATTACCGAGAATATAGCAGATCATTTCTCGCTTTGCTTTTTATTTTATACAAACGCTTATTTCAGTCCATTGTAGCGACAAAGCTACAAGTCTCCTGCAAAGATGGGTGCTGGCAGGCTGCAATACCATAGGCAGAGCACCAGGGGCAGCAGCAGAGAGAGGTCTGTTGACCATCTGGGGATTGCCAAATTTTTCACAATGGCATTGGAGGTACCTGGACTGTCAATTTGAGGATCCTGTAAGTGAAAGGTAGGAAACTTTTGATTGAAATGTTGCATTTATTTTAAATTGATTTTTTTTTCATGCAACTTCCTACAAAACATGGAAATCCCTAGAAAACTAAAGCATTCTATATTGTTAATCAGGTTTTAATCGCATTATACGGCAAGTAATCCCAGTGTTTGCAAATCTAGTGTAATACCCAAGCTATGTTATAACTGCCAGTGCAATAACATTTTATTTCATTTTAAAGAAAAAACGCACATAACCCCTCAGAGACCAGCAGCAGTTAATAGTTAATAATGCTTTTTCATTTTTATAATCATAACTAAATTGTTATTTCCTCACTTTAATACTCAGTAGAGAACAGTGTAATACTAAAACAATCAATCTCAGATTTTATCTGATGAAGATGACATCATTGGCAAAAGGAACCTAATGGGGTGGCTTATTTTAAATTGAAGGATTGTAGCAAACAAAAAAAAAAAGCAAAAAAAAAAAAAACTTTAGCCCGACCGATCCGATACCTTTGCACGACATGCCATAAACAGAGAACGTTAGCATGAGGCATGCTGGAGGAGAAAACAAGGTATCGGATTGAAGTATCGAGCCATTCCAAGAACCTAATAATGACTTCAGAAGTAAATGACAGCAGTAAATTAGTTTGATCCTAACTAGTTTCTAAAAATTTTAATGAACAGTAATTTTGATCTCAAAATTTACATTGTTTCCTAATGTAAAACGATACCACGAAAAGACTACGGATATGTCAGCATTTGCATATCAGCTGAGACACAAGTGTGTGCATATGTTGAGCGTTCTTTGGCTGGCCAACAAAGCTTTGACCTAAGAGCAAGGTTATCTCCTCAGACCCATTGCTGTTGCTATAAAATGTCAGTCCGGCGTATAATGCCGCCTTATTATTGTACAATGACATTTACAGTGAACTTTAAAAGCCAACGGATAAGCAACAAACTCATTTAAACCTGAAAGAAACTACAAAGGAGAGGAGTTAACAAACAGGGGCAGGAGTGATTGCTGCAAATGCAGTTGTCAAGGTGGAAGCTCCGGAAGAGTCACCGCAACACAGAATTCATCTGTTACCGCGTAATCACTCAGCGGGTGTTGCATTTCCTCTAATCTAAATGTATTCTTTGATAGCTCTATTTTAAAAAAATAAAAAGCTCTAAAAGCTCTACTTTTTTTTAAAGTTGACCTAAGACGGTGATTCTTAAATAGTGGGCCGCGCCCACCTTGAAGGTGCGGTGAAGTGGCACAAAGGGGTGCAAGAGGGGACTTTCAGTATACTGTCTTTATTAATGCTTGAACGACAACAAAGCCTCCAGTCTTTAGATGGCAGTATAGAGTAGGCTGCCTGTTCAACCTAGTAGAAAAAGTACACGGGTGCACCGGTATATGAGGGCAGGGAACGTTACCACCAGTATGTGAGATAAGTAACATTCCACTCCATAGCAACTCCAATGTAAGTCGAGGACCACATGTATTCAATTAAGTTACAACTAAATCTAAGGTAGAGATAAATAGAATAAAACTTGAAAAAAAATTGTAATAATGTTAGGGTTTCCAGTGGATATGATTAAAATTGTTGTTATTGATTTAGAGTTTACAGTACGGCATGGTTATATGTAAATATTTGCTATCCTATTTTTAACTGACTAAACAACACCTACAATAAAAAAAAAAAAATTCTTTTGAGAGTGTGATCCTGAACGTGATAAGCAAACTGAACACAGGTTATTGAGTTTTGTTACTTTGTTACTGATAGCATGCTTACCACACAGAAGATGCCATCGACAGTTGAGTTTGACCTCAGTTTCTGCGCCTGCAAGACATAAACCAAACAAAACACCTTAACAGTCTGGTAACACATATAACTCATGGCTTAAGTGATAAAAAAACCCTCATCATTACAGTTTGTTTTTTTGATTTATTTTCCAAGTGGGACTGCTTTTCCTTTTGATTATGACTACTGATTAAGTCAATGATAAAATATCAGCATAGGTCCATCAGAGGTACAGGGTGGGCTCGCACTGTTGTCAACAAATTTGTTTTCTGTCAATGCTCTTGTAACCTATTTAGTACATACTCTGAGAACTTGAAGGTGGTTCAATTTAAAGTTGGAGTCATTACTGTATGGTTAAGTTCACAGCATCTGGTCCAGGTCATGTTATGAGTAATAGACTGTTTATATTGGGAATGTGTGATATCAACTTTTAGCCAATGTTAGATATGTCAATGTTGTCCAAAAACTGAATTTCCGATTCCGATATCAGCTCATACCGATATATGCAGCTGTTTTTCTGCATAACTATTATAAGGTCACATTGAATATTTCCCGCCATAGAATTAACACATTACAGTAACAAATTTACATTCCATGAAAACATAAAAACGACTGACTGCCTGGAATGCAAACTAAGAAATGTTAGTAACTGAAATGCTAGGACATTACTTTTTTTTTTTTTTTTTTGGGCCATGTTCTGCTTGAGAGACGTAACTAAACCTGAAATTATCCTATTTTCTGGAGTATAGGTCACACCAGCCAGCTAGAGTGCCCTCTAGCGGCTGTCAGTGTGAAAATAACAGACGTGAAATTATATATTTAATATATACAGTAAATCGTATATAACTCGAGTATAAGTCACAAACCCAGCCAAAGGATGAAAAAAAAAGTGCGACTTATAGTTCGGAAAATATGGTAATAAATGTTTTTCCTCCTGATTCCTCAAATTATTTTGTTGTCGGAATGGTTTTGTAAGGTTTCCTGCCCAATTCCCTTAGTCCTTTGTAGCATGTGTAAATTGCAAATCAGGTTGAGGCTAAATGTAAATGTGGATGGTTTTATTATAATCTTCACACCAATTTACATAGTGTCAGCCTAAGCAAAAAAAAACACTGGCGTTAACTGCTCATCAGACCTGATCAACAAAAGAAAATCCCTGAGGACAAAATCCTGACCCTTATTTAAAAATAAGAAATCTTATTTACAGCCATCCCCATTGAGATATGTTAAATGAGGAAAACAGGTTTATTATACAGTACAGTATACATTTTTTTACCAAATTAACAACTGTAAAGACATTATATGAAGAATGAATTACTGCAATTAAAACTGCCACCACAAAGCATTGCATTTAAAAAGGCTTAGCTGTTATATTATTGATTTAAAAGTCAAGAATTATTTGATTTTTTTAAAAATACATTTCTTTAATCAGGGATTTAGTGATTACTGTATGTGGACATGTTGATGGTTATATTTCTTGAATTACATGGTTATAATTCTTGAATCAATCAAGTTTAATTGCCTGTAGTGTAGTCTTTGCATGTGTTTACATTAGTATACATAAGTTCTGAGTAAAGTCAGTATAAATCTTCCAATTCCGTCTGGAAAGTTAAGCTTGTACTTGCACCTACAGACTGTAGGTGTGACAGAATAACGAATGCCTCCAGGACGCACAGTGAGCTCAGACCAACAGTCGACATGAACAGGATGTAGCATTCGATTTGAAAACAGAAAACAGAGAAGGTATTGTGTGATTAATCCTTTGTCCGCACTTCAAACTAATTAGAATGGATGGGATCTGGTATTTAGGCAGTTTTTCAGAAAACTATTTCAGTCATAACGAGGCAAAAAAGGTGGCCGTAATATGGTGAAAAAGACT